CCATTTTCCTGTTACACTATTTATCATTTTCTAAAAATCAATCCAGAGTCCTAGGTGTTTTACATATCCTGAATGCAAATTATTTGTCTATTAACTATGCAAATCTACCATCTTCCAATGTATCACTTTTCTTTTTAATCTTGTATCTTTTATCATACATAATTTATTTTTCAATGTAACCAAAATTATCAATCTGTTTCTTTTGGTTTTGAGGTTTTTATGTCTTGTGTAAGAGATCCTTCCCTACTATGTAAGTGCCTGGGTGGTGCAAATGGTTAATGTGCTCAGCTGCTAACTGAAAGGTTCGAGGTTCGAGTCTACCCAGAGGCACCTTGGAAGAAAGGCCTGGTGGTCTACTTCTGAAAAATCAGACACTGAAAACCCAGTGGAGCACAGTTCTACTCAGACAAATGTGGGGTCCTCATGAGTTGGAATTGACTCAGCGATAATTAGTGGTGGTCCCTATTCTATAAACAACTACTTTTCCAAGAATCTGAATTCTTCCTCTGACTTCAGATACACCTTGATGTCTACTGCATTTAACTTCTGTAGAAAGATGCTAAAATGGGGGTCCTTCAGCCTCACTTTTATTTGAAGCCCCCAGGCAACATCAGTTGCTCCCACAGATAAAAGGATGATGCTAGACCACCGAGCAGGACTTCCAAAGAAGTTTGAAAACAGATTTTGCAACCCTAAGCCCAGCAAGCACCCTGAGGTTTCAAAAGGGTTAACAAGGTTAGAACCTGGAAAAGGATTTTTCAAAGAAAGTTATCAACGTGCAGAATCCCACCACATTAGGAAGGAGGGGAAGAATGAGGAGCTGCTTACCCCTTTTCTCGAGCTAGTGAGCAAGGCTTCGATGACCTGCTGGAAAAGCTCATGGGGGGCACAGTGGACTGGGGTATGAAAAGAAGTCTACAGTCAAGAGGCTGGCTGAAACAGTCTGTGGTAGCAAACCAGAAGGTCATGTCAGAGATAACTGCACTCCCACTGATGGCTGGCCAGAGGTCAAAGGTATGTGGTCCTGGAGACCAGATGCAGAACCAGCAGCTAGACTGTCTAACAGGGATGCTGCCCAGGAGGGCTTCTCAAGGACGTGGGGCCTCAGGTGGAAGGGGCTGGAGGGGTATCACTGAATGCCACAGCTTCTACCCTGGAGGAGCCGGAGGCAGCTAAGTACAAGATAAGGGGCACAGAGAAGAGGCCAGCCTCTGTCCCCTTCCCACTGATGGCTAGATAAAACTGAATGGAATTTGGCATTTTTGACTTTTATATAAGACTGGACATATATCTTAATTATTAAAATGAGACTATTCTTGCGACTGAAAGTGATCACCTGGATTAAAATATACGTATACTTTAGAGAGATCAGGTATTACCTGAGAGTGTGAGGGATCTACCAGAAATTTCCCTCAAGAACAGGGAAATGAACCAGAGCCACAGAGCAAGTCTGCTCAGGCCATAGGGGAGAGAACAGTGTTTCCTGACTCTGCCCTGGCTCTGCTGTTCAGGATACTGACTTTGCTTCCAGTATGCAAATGAAGCTGCCACCTCTTTGAGCGGTTAAGAGTTCAGCTGCTAACCAAAAGGTTGGCAGTTTGAATCCACCAGGCGCTCCTTGGAAATCCTATGGGACAGTTTTACTCTGTCCTATAGGGTCGCTATGAGTCAGAATTGACTCGACGGCAATGGGTTTGGTGAGTTGTAACACTATAGGGCTGGAGTCCTGTGCTGCAATACATACTTACTTAAGCCACTACTGCCAAATGTTTATACATAATGGAGCATGCTGTTGATATGATAAATATAATATAAAAGGCAGAGGGCCAAAATAAATGATTTTCAGGTTTTCATTATGGCTTCCACAGCAGGTAGATGAAACTCACCTCCTAGGAAATTGATGAGAGGCTGATTCAGGTCTTAAGCATTTCCAGGCTGAATGAAGCAGGTCTTATGGAACAAACCAAGATGACTCAGCAGTCTCAAGCAGCTTCTGAAGCACCCTGGAAATTGGTGTGCAGGGTGGGTACCTCACGGCTACCAATGGCTCCTCCCTACTCAGAGCTAAGCTTTTCAGTCTGTTCCCAACCAGTAGGACATTAGGACATACGGTAGACCCCAGATAGTGACCAAGCAAAAACTGAGATTGGACATAATACATGACATCTAAGAGTCATTTCTCAAAATGTAGTCTTCATTTTTCTCTGTGAGGAATGATTTTAACTTATTAACAGGAAAAAAAAAAACTAAATAAAAAAGGAAATATCACCTTCATAAATCATGCATCAATAAGGAGGGAAGAGTAACAACGAGTGTTGCTGTTAGTTGCCACTGAGTTGGCTCTGGCTACGACAACCTTATGTCTAACAGAAGGAAGTATTGCCTGATCCTGTGCTGTACTCATGACCGCTGATAGGAAGAGTGGCTAAGAATTATTCAGTGCTCACCATGTGTCAGAACTTGACATGTGATCTCCTTTAATCCATATTTCACACCCATGAGGTAAGCCCTTTTAAAAGCTCCATTTTACAGATAAGGAGACTGAGGCACAGAGGCGTTAACTTGGCTAAGGTTACACAGTGTCAAGGGAGTTGAGCCAGATACTCTGGCTCTTCTAGAGCTTGCCCTCTAAACCACCTGGCAACAAACAGATTTCATGGAAACGAATTCTCCCTCACTTGTAGCTGCTCAAAACTGGAAAGGATCATAGAAATAATTTTACCTTTGCAGAGTTCTTTCTCTTACTCATTTAATACTCATTAAAATATTGTAACATAGGTGTTCTCTTTTCATTAAGAGAGAAAATTGAGCCTGAGAGAAATTAAGTAACTTGCTTCTAGTCATACTAACAGTTAGGGTTTCTGATCCAACAGCTTCTAACTCTGGTGATGTGAGCTATCCAACTCATCCAACTTCTCATTTTTCAGATGAGAAGGTCTATAGGGGACACACTCAGAGAGGCTAATGGCCATTCAAGTTCACACAGAGAGCTAGTATACTTTGCATCTGTCACCAGCATACAGCTTAAAGATATCTTACCATGATAATCCATTGTCATGGATTGAATTGCATCCTCCAAAAATATCTGTCAACTTGGCTAGGTCATGATTCCCAGTATTGTATGACTGTCTACCATTCTGTAATCTGATGTGATTTCCCTATGTGTTGTATATTCTACAACTATGATGTAATAAAGATGGATTAGCAGCAGTTCTATTGATGAGATCTATAAGATTAGTTAGTGTCTTAAGCCAATCTCTTTTGAGATATAAAAGACAGAAGCAAGCAGAGAGACACGGGAACGTCATATCACCAAAAAAGCAGCGCTGGGAGCAGAGCGCAACCTTTGGACCCGGGCTTCCTGTGCGGAGAATCTCCTAGCCTAGGGGAAGATTGACAAGGACCTTCCTCCAGAGCCAACAGAGAAAGCCTTCCCCTGGAGATGATGCCCTGAATTTGGACTTGTAGCCTACTAGACTGAGAGAGAATAAATTTCTCTTTGTTGAAGCCATCCACTTGTGGTAGTTCTGTTATAGCAGCACTAGATAACTAAGACACCCATATTCTAAATGTGTGCTTGACAAAGCAAGGATTAGTAGAGAGCAAGAGGGCTCACTCAACATAAAATGGAGTGCTTTCTTCTACTTCTACAAGTTGTTTTATTTGTGGAGCTGATGCATCAGAACCACCACTACACATAAGTGCCTACGTTTTCAACGCCTGCTCTTACCCAGCCTCCTTGTCCATTAACTCTGCACTTAAGCAGTGATCAATCAAACAAATCCATTTAGACATCAAGCCTAGCCATTCTCATAGTAGACTTGATACTGAAGCAGCCAACTACAGGAGAGCTGTATATGTCAGGCCTTTGTGGAATGAAACGATATAAATCATCATCTGATTCTGACTGTGGGTCTATAAGAAATTCTTAAAACAGTCTCAATAACCCTGAATGAACATTGTCATGTCTGAGCAAAAAAGTGCACAGCTAAGTTCTTTCGTCCAGCAGAATCTCTTCTAGTATAATAATGCACTGCTGAGTTTGAGCCCAAGTCTGGACGTACAACGTTGAGGCAAAATGTGAAATAAGAAATTGCTGTGCTTGATCACAGGCATACGTGTGCCTAATGGAATTACCTGTTGGCATGTGAAAATCTGCCAGTGTAAACCCTTATATGTCAAATTAAGGGGCTGTTCTATGAATCCTTGTATATATATATTTTTGTCTTTCATTTTCTCACAGTCTTTATATCATGGGTGGGATCGGGGTTGGCACTGACTGAACGAATGCTAGACTGGAATATTCAACAAATACCAAGAGGGGTAGGTGCCATACAGGAAAGCTTGACAGCATCAAGAACTTTGGAATTCTTCCAACTAAAATTTCCGAATCTACTGACTGGGAATCTCCCCTCTATTAAGGTCATAAAAACACAGTAGGAGTTGAGGAAGAGAGAAATGACTTCAAATTCTTAATAGTATGATTACTACTAATAATGGCTAACATTTAATGTGCACTTCCTATTCTTAAATTATATATACCATTAGATAGTACTTTCCATGAGGCTAGGTCTGTTTTGCTCATCACTGTATCCCTTGCTCTGAGTGCAATGCCGTGCCTATAGTAGGTTCTCAATAAATACTTGCTGGATGACTATATGATCTCATTTAGTTTTCACAATAACCCTATAAGGTTTGTTATCAACATTGTACAGACGAAAGTATCGAGGCTCGGAGATATTACAAATGTGTCCGAGGCCACCAGCAAGGGTCAGAGCTCATATTCAAATCCAAATGTACTTGACACCAGACTCCTTGGTTCAACTACAACACAATTTCACTAGCAGAGACCAGACCTTAGGGCTTTTCTAAGGCTACCTGTGAAAGGTGGGTCCTAAAGACTACATTTCAAGTTAGTAACCCTATCACTCTGTTCCAGTCATCACCTTTTAAATTCCTTCAATATTACACAACAACTAAAATGAAAAGAAATGACTTACCTACAAATCCTTCTTCACCAACCAGCTTCAGAGCAATTTTATCAGCCAACACTGAGGAGTTGCCATGAGCAATGTTAGCAAAGGGGCCAGCATGCACGAACACAGGTGTCCCCTATGGAAGTAGAGGCAGAAATTTTAACCCCGAAGACAACGAGAAGAAAGTAAACCAAGATCAGTTTGGGGCAAACAAAGTAGAACAGACTGCAGGGTATTTAACTTGAGTTAATGATTCACCCAAGTCATTATTTCTCTCATTAACACTGCATATTTAATGCATAAAATCTCTCAAAAGGAGTTAGAACACCATGCACATGCTCAAAGGATCAAATTCCCTAGGTACTGAGAACTATGTGATTCCATATTTAATGCTGAACCAGAGAGAAAAAGCTCTTAGAGTCATTTCCTACTATAATTTTGATAAGCCACTGCTATTAGCTGACATAGTAACCACGAAATAGACTATTTACCTTACTTTATATTGCTCTGTACTATATGAAAACAAAAAAATGGAATTAGATCCTGATGGTCTACGAGGCGTATTTAAGTTTATTTTTCAGTAAGAAATTAGCCATTTCAAGAAAATTCTCAAATAAGTATAAAAATCAAAACAATTAATGAATTATGGGAATTAAGTCAGGGTGACTAAATAATGATCAAATTTATCAGAGGTTGTTTTTATATTGATAATTTGCTATTCTGAGTTTTGATAATTCTGTTTAAGTCTTCCTCATTGTTTAATTCCAATAGCACTGTCTTGCATGCTAGAGATCTGCTAAATATTACGATAATAGAAGTCTTTTGGTGTTGTAAATGGTTATGCTCTCACCTGCTAATAGAAATGTTGGAGATTCAAGTCCACCCAGAAGTGCCTCAAAAGAAAGGTTTGGCGACTTACATCCAAAAACTCAGCTGCTGAAAACCCTACAGAGCACAGTTCTACCCTGACACACATGCAGTTGCCTTGAGTCGGAACTTAATGATAATTTTTTTTTTTAAATTAAGATAACAAAAGCAAAGAGTAATTCTTATTAAAAGGATAAAAGAAACCAACATATAGGGGATTATAAAAAATGTTAGGTTTTAATTATTTCAACAAAAACTGTTTATATGTTAAATTCTTATATGGCTTGTTTATACTTTTACAATTCCCTTATGGATGAGAATAGATCTTAGCCTGATCTGAAAGGATTTATTCACGTGCATGCAATGTTCAGGCTTTATTCTGAGCTGAGCCCAGGTCCTTTAGGGTGTGCACTTGCAGCCAGGATTCTACCTGTGAAAACATGGCTGCTGCTGTTTCCCTGACAGGAGGGAAGACAGGGAGCCATGTGGGAGGTGGGAGGCTGGGAGTGATGGAAAGTTCCCATGAACCATGACAGGCAGTTAGCTGAACAAGCTTCAAAGATGAGAACGCCAACCAAAGCAGGAAGAAAGGAAGTGAAAGAAAAGTCATTTCGGAAAATGAAAAAGATACAGTTTATTAAGGCGACTTAGGTTTGGTCTGTATTTACTTTTCCTCCTAATGTCCTCAGGAAGCAAAATAAATAGGACACTGAGAATAACATACAAACATATGTGGAAATAAAGCTGAGATGATAAAACTCAGACATACTTGTTTGTGTATATGTACGTTTAATGTCTATAGCTCTGTTTTCTTGTTGGGTGTCATCAAGTCCCAGGCTGCAATCTTTTTTTTTTTTTAGTTTTTTTTTTATTGTACTTCAGGTGAAGGCTTACAGAACAAATACTTTCTCATGAAACAGAAGTACACATGTTGTTTTATGACATTGGTTAACAACCCCACAATATACCAACCCTCTAACTTCTC